GCTCAGCCAGATGGCTCCTGGACCAGAGCTGACTCATGCCCACAGAGCTCAGGCAGCAGAACTGGCAGAGAGCTGCAGCACGCTGTGGGAGACACCTCACCCCAGCTGGCCCTGCGCTCACAGTGGGGCAGCTCCAGTGGTAAATCCAGGTGTTCTGCCCACTGCTATCATTCTAATGCTGCAAAACTGAAATGGTGACAGGCCTGGGTTCCACTGACAAACAGAGAAGAACCAGGCTGGTGAACTTTTCTGAGCCCTGAAAAGGTGCAGACATTGAGGGAGCAGAACTCTTCACTCTCACAGTGGCAAAGGATGGTGAGCACAAGCTGTGGATAAGCTGATGGCACAAAGGGAAGGGTGATAGCTTCTAAAAGTGCAGCAGAGGCCTCAGAGAGAACAAGGGACTTGGGTATCTGCTTTCCACTAAAACAGTGTTTATAAACCTCCCCAACTGTTTTCCAGCTTGGCTTCTAAGTGAATTACAGCTTAGGAAAGCTGGGAAACATGAGCTACATCCAATCCATGCTGCAGACCACCATTTTCAGAGAAATGAATAAAGGTAAAAAACAAAGGTGAAAAGGAAGAAAGGTGAAGTATAGCAAAAAATCCTCTTAAACTGTCCAAATCAGATATGGGAGGGAGACTGCACTGGCAAAGCTGTGAACTGGCAGCATTAGCGGGTGATGAACGCGGCCATGTTATCTAATATGGCAGAATACACATCATGCATTTTTAATAGCATTGTTTTGCTTCTATTTATCACAGTGTCACAGCTAGAGGCTGTTTCAAAAGGCATGGGGAATACAGAAAGATTATGATTGGATGGTAGGGCTTTTGACTGGAGGTCACACACACAGAGAAACATACAAAGCATCAGTAGTATAAGACTTCAATGTAGTCCCTGTTTTCAGAGTCCACATGAAAAACAAGTCAGCTGCAGCAGTGTTTACTGAGAGTTAATCAGGTTTGCAGATTAACCATAAAATCCTGAATTACAGGTGCTTATATGCAAACATGAGGCACATGCAACACATGTAGCTGAGACATGAAAAATGGACTCTGTGATGGCAGCAGCAGAAGAAAAGGGTAACAGCTAAGGAGGAAAGGGAAGGCACATTCAGTGAGGATGGACTGAGTTCTCTCATCTCTTCAGAGCAGGTATTTAAGTTCTGATCAATTCTCCCTGTAATCAGCAAATGCTGATCCGTGAAAGAATTGCTGGCAATTATTTTTTTGCATTGCAACAATATCTCCAAAATCTACTCAGAAATGAGCATCTGCTTTACTCTCAGACACACAAAGTGTCTCCATATGCTTGGATTACTATGGAGCCGTCAAACCAGAGCTGCATATTTTCTTCATTATATTCCACCCTGGAAAGAAGTGCAAGCAAGATAACAAAGAGAGACTGGTATTAAACAGAAAATTCTTGAGCAGGTAGCAGGTTTCAAGAGCTTTACTTCAGTCCAGCTTAACACTTCACATGTGTACTCAGCTTTATGTATCTCTCTGCAGGCTGGACTGGGGCTCCTCTCCATCAACCTGTAGGGAATTTGGGATGTTGCACAGGGGCTGTGACTATCTGGCAGATTTCTACTCTGGAGGCCACCTTGATGCCTCAGGTTTTAGCTTTTATATTTTTCAGATTCTGTGCAACTTTAGTGTGTAGTTCTGAGCTTCATATTAGGGGATGGTAAGCTCTCTTTGCAGAGTAGGGAGACAAAACAATTCCTTCTCTAGCTGGGGACCAAGGACAAATGATCCAAATCTCAGGCCCAAGACCACAAACAACAGTGCACTGAAGAGAGAAAAACAAGAAGGGTGGGACTTCATAAGCTAAAGATATAATTGGATAATTAATTCCAATATGCTAATGGATCAGAACTTATAAAAGTGTGAGAGCCTGTGACTGGTCATCCATTTTGTGACCAATTTGGGTGGGCTCTTGTACTGCCCAAGGTGTATCCATTGAGGCCTTCTAATAAACACCTACTTTTTTCTTTAACTCTGTCTAGTCTCTGTTCTAGGTCAGCCTTTAGAAGGCATCAGCCTCTTTGCCCATTTCCTACCTGATGCACTACAACACCCAACAGGCTGAGCTCAGCTTGGATTACAGCCTTCACTGCCCCAGCTGACTCGAATGGGGCAAAACCTTCTGGGAATGCAAATGGGAAAATGAGAGCAGCTCCTCTCCCCTGCTGTCTGGGCAGCAGGTGTGTCTTTCCCCATCACAGGAATGAAACAGTGAACTTCTGAAGTAGAACAAAGCTCTTTCAGGAAAAAACATGTACCCAGAGCTGCAGCGTGAGCTGTGACAGACATACTGGGGTTCAACTGGGTCTGTTGGAGGGGAAAGGTGCAGGTGTCAGGCTCACAGCATAAAACAAAAGCCAGGTAAACATGATGCCTGAGTCCTAGAAGAAATCATGGAAGGAAAAAACTACCAATGTTTTCAGGAAGATTTTTATCTCCTGTCTCCCTCTGTGCTAGTGCTCACACACCATGAGACCACCCTCTTGTACAAAAGCACTCAGCCAGCCAGGGCCTCTGAGGAAAAGGCCTGCTCTGTTAGCAGCAATTCCATTTGAATTGTTAATTATTTTTGTCTTTCAAACCAGCATATACATTGGCTAATCAAAACTCTTCTGATAACTATTTATGTCTTTGCTTGCCCCTGCTGCTCACAGTCACGTTCTTCCCCTGGAAATGGCTGTACCAAACTCACTGTGGGTTATGTCAAAGGCAGGCTGAGTTTTTTGCCTAAGATTAGTAGCAGATACATATTTACAGAAAGAAGTCATATGATCTTTCTTCTAACACTGGAAGAATATGTAGAACTTCTTGTCAGTGTGAACACAGGATGATTTTAATTTCCTAAGAGACCTCTAAAGATAGGTCTTACATCAGAATCCTGTTTAACTAAATAAACATAAGATCAAGAAAATATTAGGCAAATCAGGCTTCATTTCTCACTGTAAATTAGATAGCAAGAGAACAGCCATTACAGCTCTCTTTAAAGCTATTTAATCACGTGGATCATGATGCATAAACAACAGAAAACCCATTTTCTGTTCTTTTTCAAATGCAGTAATGAGGACTAAAAATACCAACCAGGACTAATAAAATGACACATAGTAAACGTACTTCAGTGTATGAACATTATACACACTATAAAAAGCCAAAAAATTATCATTATCTCACTGCTAGAAACGCAAAGGCCTCAACGGGGATTAGCAAAGGGATTTGCTTTACACTAACACTCGGCCAGAAACAAAGCTTGGAGTCGGTGCCACACCTCCACAGTCCTAAGGTCACCTCTTATCTGTTCAATCCCACAGCAACGCTCCCTTGCAGCTATTTTAACCTGAAGCTGCTTCACTCGCGATTTGTTGTGGAGACGGTGGGTCTGGTCGGGAGAACGCGGTCTGAGGGGACAGAAGGCACGTGAGAATTCCTAGCGCCCACTCGGGGACAGCAGGGGCAGCTCCGGCCCAGGAACCTCCTGCGCCAAACCCGAACAGCCCCAGCAGTGCCTGAGCGAGGCTGCTCAGCCCGGGCTGCCACACGGCGACCCGCGAACGTGCGGAGGAGCCCTCAAGGCCTCCCCGGCCAGGCCCGCGCAGGCCCGGCCGTGCCCGGCCCCCGCCGCGGCGGGAGGCGGAGCCGAGCCCTGCTGACACCGGCGGCGGGCGGTGCTGCAGTGCGCGGAGCCGCCGATCGCTGCCGGAGCCCCGCGGCTGCAGCTCGCCGTGAGCGGGGGTGCCGGGGGAACGGGGACGAGTGGGGGCGCCGAGGCGGGTGTGGGGGGGGAGGGACAAGGCCGCCGCCATGTTCTAAAACCGGGGAGAGGAACGGGCGGGGGCGGGACTCAAACCGTAGCCGAGGCCGGTGGCAGAGATTCGAACGTGGGTCCCTGGGGACTCGAACCCGCGTCTCCCGGCGGGCGCGGGGGGCACAGGGGCTCGCGGGACCCCCGGGGCGGTCGCGCGCTCCCCCCTCCATTATCCTCTCTCCCCCCCCCCCCACCGCGCGCGCGGGGGGCCGGACGTGACTGGCTGCGTTCAATTTGTCACGCGGCCATTGGCTGGCGGGGGCGGGCGGCGCGTGACGTCAGCGCGCGGCGCTGCGCGGCCGGCGGCCATTTATAGGCGCGGAACGGGCGCTGCGCAGACGGAGTGAGCGGGCGGTACCGGGAATACCGGCGGCTGTATCGCGGCCCATCCCCGCGGGAGCGCCGAGAAACCCCCCGTGGAGCCCCGATCCACCTTTTCCGAGCGCCCCTTCGGCCGCCGCTGAGCTTTTGTTTCTGTTCGCGCAGCGCCTGAGCGCCCCCGCCCAGCTTTGTTCTTCTTGCGGCCCCTGCGGGGAAGGCGCGGCCAAGATGGACCCTTGTCACACCGAAGAGACCGAGGGCGAGATCCCCGGCTTGGGTAAGGCCCAGCGACGGCGGGCGGGGAGGGGGTGGTTGGAGGGACCGGGGGGATGGGGGAAAGGGCGATCGGGCCCTCGTGGTGCCGCCAGCCTGGGCCCAGTGCCGCGGAGGCCTCACGATGGCGCTGGGGGAGGGAGGGAGGGAGGGGGGCGGCGGGGACGGGCCCGGCCGCGTGCGCCGCTCAACCCCCCCGGCCGCGTGCGTCGTGCCGGGCGGGGCCGCGGGGGCTCTCCGGGGTCGCTGTCCCGCCTCCACCGCCGCTGCCGCGCCCGCGGGTCCCTCCCCGTGCTGGGGGGGCGGGCGTGAGATCGCCAACGAGATAAGCGTAAATTACAGTTTATTACAGGTCTAACGTCCAGCCTTAAGTAGCGTAAATCCGGTGGAAACGGCCACTCAGTAAAGCAGAAGTTGAAAGTAAAGGTTTCTGGACGCCATAACAGTCTCGTCTTAAAATGGTGAACCCGTGCCAGTTATTGCAAAACAGCCCTGCTCAGCGCCTGCTATCTGTTTACTGGGTGTCGGCCTCTCGCTGAGCTCCCCCGTGGGGACAGACACTCGAGAGGCAATATGACTTTAAAATCTTTATTAAACAGCAGAGAATATACAGGAAAAAAATCACTATCAAAACACCCCGTATTTGTTCTTTTTAGCTATACAAAAAGGTCTAGCAAAACACACTGCTCAGAGCAGATAAAAATAAACCCCGAATCATGTTATTACATTTCAGGCTTGCTTTAAAATCAGCTATACAGGTCATGCATTTGTTTTAAGTAAATTTTTAAACACACAGACTGTTGAGTGGGCTTTGTGGACTTGTTATCCGAATTAATTTTCATCTTCTAAAGAAGTCAGAAATGACTTGACCTATTAAAAAAAAAAAAGCATATGTATTATTTGAGACATTAAAAGTACCAGGCTTTTCCCTTTATTTGGGAAGAAATTGTCTGTTACTATGTTTTTCCAGTGATGTTTTGCCCCTGTATTTAATTCATGAACTGAAATGCGTGTAGCCTTTCAGAGGGGCAAGGTAGATGGCATTTCTGAGTGTCTGCTTAAAATTAAGCTATTAATTGCTGGTTTCCATGAGGATATAATGACAAATACCTCCACAATTCATCATTGGGCTCCCTTTCCCAGTTTATTTAGAGCTATTAATTTGAGGGAATAAGTCTTGTCTTAAAGGAGTCATTCTTCAGTAATCTCAAACTGATGACCCAGAACAAGATGAAGGAAATGGTTTATAGGGTTTCCTAGGAGAACACTTCCTCATGCTTTTAAGTATTAGGTGGAGTTTTTTTCCCCGTGAACTAGCCAAACAACTCCACCAGAATTTCTTTCGGCATTTCCCAAGTCTTGCCTTTCATAGGAATTGGTAAACACCATTTTGGCTCTTTATTCCCACCTTGTCTCCTCAGATGGTTGTTTACTCTCCCTCCCTACTGTTTAATGTCACTGCGTGCATATTAACTGCAGAAGAGCAGATACAAACCCCCCAGTACTTCATACTTACTTTATCAATCAGGTACTCTTGTTTAATTTTATCATTCTTAAAATCTTCATTAACATCCAAAACTAGAATAGGAATCTCCTTTATGTTCTCAAAATCAACTCTGTTAAATGGAAGAACATAGTTTGAGTAAAATTACACAAAATACTGTGCATTCAAGACCCCTGCTCTTGATTACCACGTGCATCTGAAATGTTAAAGCTGATGCTCATAACTTAAATATAAAGCCCATGCCAAGTTTGTCCTTAATTGCTCTTAATATATTTCACTCTTAGTATCTATCTATATAGTAATGTACAAGTAGAGGGGGTGGGAAATTGTTTTTAACCTTAATTTCCTTTCTTATTCTTGTAATGGAATCAGTGACCAGGAACTGATTTTGTAATTGTAAGATGGAGTATTTTTTTTCAAAATCTCCCTTGCCCTGTGTCTCCCCCACTTAATCCACTTAGCAAGATGCAATTTTAAAGCTTCTGTTCATAAGGATGACCTCTTTAACAGGTTATAAGACCAGTATTTATAAGGTCTTAGACATAAGCAAAACCATTTTGGCTTCAGTTTAGGAAGAGATGGGAGCAGTAGTTAGTCTGAGTGTGGAAGGCATTTCTAAAACGCAGTACGTGTGCTGAACAACATTCTAACTTGTGCTTCCACACTTCAGTTCCTATTCCAGACACAGGAAGTGCTTCCTTACTGAGTTTGGAATGAGTACACAACGTAAACATTCCCAAAATTGCACACTGTGCACTGCCTTCTCTCTCCTAAGCATTTGGGTCATCCTATGTGAAACTTCAGCAAGCAGATCAAACTGATAATGTACTTTTCCTGGAATTGTCATGCTTCCCCTTCAGTAGAATATTTTGGACTCCTCTAGGGAAAAATCTAGAGTCTGTTTTCATGTTCAGAGATTCTTTAGATGGGAAAGCCAGTAAGAGTCAATAAGGAGCTTAAGGGAAGGTGTACTGAGATCACTCAGCTGCTGATTAGGTTTCTTGTGTGTAACAGGTCTGCCAGAAGCCTTTCTGATTATTGTTTAAATTTAAGTTAGGATTGATATTTAAACTTTGTTGAAATGCAGTCCTACTAGTTTAAAGGTATTTGGGGCCTTGTTTGCCCCTTACATTGAAATAGAAACTGCATGGTGAGAAATGTATGTGATTAGCCCCTAACCACCATTTTAAGTGTCTTATTCCTGAGTCCTTCCGATTAGCAAAATCCATATCCTTGCCTGAGTTACAACTGTAAAGCTTTCTAGTTGAAGCTAATGTTTAAGAAAGGTTTCAAATTAGATGGAGTTCCATCCCTTGAACCCTGAAGTGGGTATAAATTTGAGTGTATCTAACTGCCTGAGTGAAACTAGACTTGCAGTAAACTCGATAAAACTAAAGCTTTAAGGTAGGAAAAAGCCTTGCCTGCAAGTTAAAACTTGCTACAAAAAGTGGGTTCCTACCTCATAGTCCTTTCATGAAGCCAGGTTTCATGTTTATAGTGGAGGTTTTCCAAATACTCAAGCTCAATTCCTTGCTCCTCTTTTCTTCCCCTCATCTGTAGCCTTTCCATGCATTTCTGGGGAAAAAAAAATAAACCTGGTCATTAATCATGTGTTGTAGGTTAAATCAGCCAAATGGATCAAGTGGCCCTTAATTTGGAAGGACTAGTGCTAGACATTAGTGAGCATTACTTTTAAATGGTTGGCTGAACATAAACGAGTTAAATCTAGGATAACTTTTTTGTCCCCTCTTAAGCCTCTGGAAAATGAAACTGGAACTGAGAAACCTCCATTTTTAGTAGCATACCTGAGGTGTGGTTCTGAGATAGATCATGCCGTCCAGTTCTATATCTGATTGAAACTGATTCAAAAGCCATGTGTGCCAGTCCTGATAAATAGACCACTCTGTTTCATTAATACTTCCAGACTCGAACAGGTTAGAAGCAAACACGTATCTGCAATGAAAGACATCAGTCTCATGCCAGGAATGACAAAAAAGTGAACTACCAAAACACTAATCATCAGAACAGAATGATGGTATTGAAAAAAAGCCTTAATCAAGCCTGCTCCTTTGCAGGTATTAGTTTAAATATCAAGTGTTTCCTCAGCTCCATGTCTTTAAAAGACCTGGAAATTGTTAGTGTGAGTTCTTGCCATGCTGTAATTACCTGTCACTGTACACAGATCTTTCAAAAAATTGCACTGGATGTTCTGCTTCGTACAGCTTGGCTGAGAGAGGTTTTAATTGTGCTTTTACTCGGCTCAAGCAGGCATAAGTCTGAAATGTGTAAGCCCATCTTGTGGGTTTGTCATAGAGCATTTGAAGTAAGTTTCCTCCGCTCTTCTGAGATGTTGAAAGTTCCTAAAAGGCAAGAGAAAAAAGTTAATACGAACATACTGCTTTTCTCAATCCAGAATTCTGATATGTTTAAGAATTCATGGCTTTCTTTTTGTTGCTAAGAAAATGCTTAGGCATAGGACCTAAGAGACTCTTCTTCCTCAGGTGATGGTGGTTTTCATGACAGCTTCTTTGAGCAGTTTGAGTTCCAGATTTTAGTGCGATTCCCGTGGAGTAGGGGATGTGATTTGGAATATACATTGAGTAGTATCTTGCCTTTACAATTTGAGTGCCTGACCAACTGTGGTATGATAGTGGGGATGACTCTGGCTGCTGCAGACTAAGTATAGCTGGATTTTGGCATAAGTCCCTGGCTGTGGAGCTCCCTGCAGTTTCTTCCGGCCCAAATCTAGCGCACCTACCTTATACTCATCCTCGGCTGTCTGGATGTTGCACCACTTAGCGATGGGCTCGGGGATGATCTCCCACTCATCGCTGTGTTTCTCCAGCAGCCTGACAAACGTTGACTTCCCCGCAGCTGCGGAAGATGAGAGCAGTTTACAAAGGGCTGGGGGTTGATAGCTCCGGTGCTGCTGACGGACAGGGGGCAGTTTGGGGGTTGTTAGCGTCTGTTGGGGCGCGGGGCCGGCCGGCTGCGCCGTGGAGCAAACTGCGCTAATCTTTCTCGCCAGAGGGGCCGCGCCCGGCCGGGCGGGTGATAAGGGCGGCCGAGGAGCAGCCGACATTTTAGAGCTGCCGTGGCGGGCGGAGCTTAGCCGGGAGAGCGAGGGAGCGGCCGCGCAGGCGCCGGGACTTGGCGCGGGCGGGAGCGAACGAGCGCTGCTGCCCCGGGTGGGCCGGGGGGTGGCACCGGGGGTTTGTGCTCCCCAGCCCGCCCTGCGCCCCTGTGTCACTGACACGGGCACCCTGCTCGGGGAGCTCCCCACCCGCCCCAGCCTCCCTCCGGGTTCACGTCCCGGTGCGACTCCCCCCGCAGAGCCGGGGGGTCAAGCACCGCTGCCGCCCCTCTCGCTCTGTCTCCCCCGGCATCCCAGCCCCTTGGGGTGCTCCCGGCCTGACACCCCCACCTTCCCCCGGACTCCCCTACCACCCTGAGCCGCCTCCCGCGCCCTCTCCGCCGAGCTCACCGATGTTCCCCTCGATGGAAATCTTCCTGAGGCGCTTCTGGAAGCTGGATTCGAGGGAGCCGGCGGGGCTCTGGCAGTGCCGCTTGGCGGGGGTAGACATGGCGGTGCCGAGCGGGAACTCAAGGGGTTCCCGGCTGCTCCAGCGCACTTTAAGCGTCCCGCCAGGCGGGTGGGCGGGATGGCCGCTTCCCGCCAGTCCTCCCCGGGAAGAGGCGGAGGCGCTGCCCCCCCCCCCGCCGCTCCTGCCCAGCTCCCGCCGCCGCGGAGTTACAAAATGGGCGTTCGGCGAGTGAAATGGAGAAGAGAGCTTTGTGCAGGAAGTGACTGTAGCACGGTTCCACTTACTGATCTAATTTGCATTTCTGTAAACGAGTTCGCCATGTTGTTTGATTTACTTACGTAAACTTGAGCATGCACTTAAAAAAAATGTAAAAGCCTCCAGCTATGGGGGTGGGGTGGTTGTTAGTACTCTGGAACATGTAATAAGAGATGAGGCATTGCAGGCTCACAGTCTGTTTTGGTACTGACTGGAGAAGAAACACTTCGCGGATGAATGGCGTTCATCCGCAGGCTATTCAGAGCAGCTTCTGGGCTCCAAATACCAATGTCGGGGCTCGAGGAGCCTGCTTAACTCTAGGCATGGGTCCTCTATCAACTGTGCAGACAAGTTGAAACATGAGCTGGTTATCCAAGGGGAAAGGGGATGGAGGATTTTTAGATGAGTTATTCCAATTTCCTCCTTCCTCCTCGGTAATACAAGGTGAAATCTAGCTAGGTCTGGTGTGTTTGGAGGAAATGGGAGGGAATTAACTTTTCCGTTCTTTTATGATAATTGTGACCCATTGTCTCTTCTTTCCCCATCTCCTCCAAACACACCAGGCTTCAGTGACCGAAGCGAGCAGATTGTTTCACGTGGGGTAGCGTCAGCCTTTGAAGCTGGTAAGTGCTAGTTCGCGCACCCGGTGTGCGCAGCCAGAGCGCTCCGCTGTCCGCGCCACGCGGGAGCCGCGGCGGGCCGGGGCGGGGGCGGCAGCGCGCGGGGCACGCGCAGTGCGGCGAGCGGCGCCCAGGGCGCGCGGGGCCGGGGCTTTGTTCGGCGCGGCGGGCGGGCGGCGCGTGCGCACAGGCGGCGCGCGGGTCCCGGGGGTGGGGCCGGGCCCCACCGGGGCACATGCGCCCCGCACCCACCCCGGCCACGCCACGGCCGGTCCCGTACTCGGCGGAGGCTCGCGGTGCTCGGTGCCTTCTCGTCACACGGCCCTCCCTGCGAACCGGCCGCGGGCGCTGCGCCATCTCCCGGGGCCGCCGGCCCGCCAGGGCGGCGTGTGGGACCGCGCTCTTTGTGCGGAGGAAGGCCCGGCCCAGCGGAAGCGGGAGCACCCGCCGCCATTTCCTAGCGCGCTCTCGCTACAGGCTCGCCCGCTCGCTGCCGCCTGACCGGGACTAGGCGCTCTCCGGACAGTGGATCAGGCTCGGAGCCCTAGAACCAGCGCGGAGCCCCACCATGTGTGCGTGCGGGGAAGGGGCAGGGCGCGGGCCGGGGGCGGGAGCGGCGCCGTGTGTGTGAGGCGGCAGCGGCGGAGGCAGAAGGAGGATCAGGGAGGGCCGGGACACAGGCCAGGGGGGCCGCCGGGCGCTCTGAGGGGGTGCGGGTGGCGGCCGTGCTGAGCAGCATCTCAAAGGGCCCGTTCTCGTCTTTCCAGCAACCACAGAAGCAGAGACAGAGCAGAGCCTCACCCCCAATGTGATGCTTAACACAGAGAGCAGCGAGGGATACGTGGTGAAAGTCCGGGGGCTGCCTTGGTCTTGCTCCACCGAGGAGGTGCAGAGGTTCTTCTCTGGTAAGTGGGGCTGTGGGGGAATAAGAGGTTTGGGAGAGGGGTCGGGCTCTGCTGTCAATTCTGGGTCCGTCCCAGGGACACTGTGGCAGTGGGAGTGCTGTAGTGAGCAGTTGCAGGAGGCATTCAGTAGCCAGTGCAGTTTGTAGTGCAACAAGTGCTTCAGCCCGAAGCTGGGGTGCAAAGCCATGTTCATGCTAGCAGGAACTCAATACAAAGGGGCTTAGTCTGAGTTGCTGGGATAGCCACAACTACCTATGCTGCTTGAATAACCAGGAGAGAGAATGGTCAGTTTTAAAGAAAGTTCAATCTGCAGTAAGAGTTATAAAGCTAAATCAGTTTAGTTCTTGTATTAGACACAAGTCTGTTGGGACAATATGAGTGTTCAGTGTGTGTATCCTTCCCCAGATTATTAGCATTCTGCAGTAATAAATAGTGGTGATAAATACATGTTTTCTGCAGCGACTGGACCTTTTAAAACTGCTTCAGGAATTTGATGTCTTTGACTTTGTTCTGATTCAGTTTATAGTAACAATCAGTTTAGACTGATTGTTACTATTCCTTATTTCATGCTAATAAGAGAGTTAAGATCAAAAGCAGATAGTGTGTTCAACTTAAAGCAGAAAAGCTTTGGAAATAGCTTTGGAAATTTGCAATTATCCTTTATCTGCAGGTTTGACTAGAATGGGAGCTTTAGTTAGTGTCTTAGTAATTGGTCATTTTAAAGTTGCATTGCAACAGAAATGCTGCTGGTTTTGTTATGATACAAATGATACTCAATACATTTTTGGTTTTAGGCTCTCTGAAACTTCCAAAGTAACACTGTTCCTCTAATAATTAATATAATGCTGGCCTTTCTGTTTAATTTTCAGATTGCAAAATTCTGAACGGGGCTTTGGGTATCCGTTTCATCTACACCAGGGAGGGCAGACCAAGTGGAGAAGCATTTGCTGAACTTGAGTCAGAGGAGGATGTGAAATTGGCCCTGAAAAAGGACAGAGAAACAATGGGACACAGATACGTTGAAGGTTTGACTCAGTTGGTCTAGTAACTGACTACACTGTGTTTGTGCTTGTGGGTTTTTGGTTAATTGCATTTTTTGTCTCTTTAAAATGCATGTGAAAGGACAAATGGACTTGCATATCATAAGTTGACTAGTTTCAAGGCAAATGACTTTAAAAACTCTTCCTTACTCCAGAATGCATTAATTCTAAGTGCCTTTTACAGTTTTCAAGTCAAACAACGTTGAAATGGATTGGGTTCTGAAGCATACTGGTCCCAACAGCCCTGATACAGCTAATGATGGTTTTGTACGTCTTAGAGGACTCCCATTTGGCTGTAGTAAAGAAGAAATTGTACAGTTTTTTTCAGGTATGTGGGATAAAAGTAGTAGCTATAGCACTATTGGTTTATGCTAAAAGTACCCCAACAAACTAAACAGGCATGGATTGCCCAGTAGTACATCCAACAGTATTATGATGGGTATTAAAAGTAAATAAAGCAATTTTTCACTAGTTTTCTGGGCATGAAGAATCCTTCGGAGCACTTCCTAAAATACTTGATAAATTAAATAATTTAGGGAATGCCAAAAAGGTGCTTGAATTTATACTTGGTGGGACATGCTGTTCCAATAAAGGATTATAGAAAAATGTCTTGCTTTCCAAATAAAGCTGAACAGTTCATGTGGGAGGCTCCTTCCACCCCTGGCCTTGGATGATTGGCCCCGGTCAGTGAAGGATGTAGAACACACTCACCACTGGGCTCTGTGTCAGGAGCAGGTTCTCAGTAAAGGGCCCTTGACCTCTTCCCAATATAAAATTAGTATTGAATGAAATGCAGAGAAAACCTGCTGAACTCTACCCAAATACAGATCTACAGATTTGCCCCTTTCTCTTCCTATAAAATAATAAAATAAAAAACCACCAGACCCTTGATGTTGCCTAGCTCAAAGTTTTTATGGATGAAGAGATAATGCCTTGTTTTGACTAATTTTTACTTTTTTTGCAGCTGTTTTATGTTTACAAACTGGAATTAGACTATTAAAATGTCTAAGAATGGAATCTGTTGATTGTTTAGGATTTCATTTGTTATTATTTTCAAAATACTAGATTTCTAAATGTTTTGCTATTACAAGATATGATAAAGCTTGTTGTTTTGCTTTAAAATACAGTAGAAACATTTCCAGTTTTACAATCTCAGAACTTGTTTTTTGTTTTTGTTTTTGTCTTTTTTTATTTTCTGAATTGGTGATATGAACAAGAGCAATTTCTAAGCATGTGCATTTTAAACTGTTCTTTTCTTACATGGTGAAGTAATTCAAGCTTTATAAGTTGTTTATGTGCTTAATATACAAAATGTGTCTCTTCTGTTCAGGAACTAATACTTAAAAATTACTTCATGATTTTTTTCTTAATTAAGCACTCTTAAAGATAAAAAATTGCTGAAACTTTATATTTGCATAAGACTAATTATTTACATGACTTCTAGTACAATTACTTGTTCTGTATAAAGCTGTTTAACTTGCTGTGTTTAAATTTAAGTTCTCTTAAAAAGTTCATCTTAAATACTTTCACAGAATTGCCGAGGTTTGTAATGATGTGTGAAGTTCTTAACTCACCCTGCATTAGATGCCTTCTCTGAGGGGCTGTCCCTGACCCTCAGAGCATTTCTGAGCTCTGCAGGGTGGGTTAAGAACCTGATCTGAATGGTATGTGATCGTGGAGCTCTTTGTTGAAGTGCCTTTTTTATTCTGGTGTTCTAGAATCAACATACCAT